TGTCTTTAAAAAAAAGGTTATCCGGCATGTGACTTTGTCTACATCGGAAAGTGAGTAGCACTGTTTTAAGAAACAGTAAAGGGCCCATTAACGTAGTACACTGGATTTTCCTGACTTGAAGTGACAGGAAGAAGTGTGATTTATTCCTTGAATAAACACATTGGCTGAAACTGGTAGGGCATGTCATCAGGAAAGGGCTTGCTAGTATTACCTTAAAAAGCCTTTTGACATGACCACTCAGAAGAAAAGAAGGGGAAATTGCCAATGTTATTTCACTCTAGAGGAAAACAGTAATGCTTTTATTATCCAACACTTCTGATTCTCTGTGCAAATCTCTGCAGCTCAAATCAGGATCTCTTCTGCTTATCTTATTTTAAGCAGTTAAATAAATAAGGCTGGAGGTTTAAAAAAAAGGAGAGAGAGAGATCAGAAAATGCATGCATCTGGTTACTACACTGCATCTTACTTTGCAAACATTTTATATCATTAGTTTATATTTGAAGCCATATTATGGCAGGCAGATATTTATTCTGCAAATTTAAACTGAAAATAGTTATCACAGAATCACAAAGTTGGAAGGGGCCTATAAGGCCAGTGCAGGAATACGTATAAATCAAAGGATATCTGCCAGGTGGTTGTCTAAGTTTCAAAGGATATCTGCCAGGTGGTTGTCTAAGTTTCTCTTGGATGCACTCGCCACCTCTAGCGGTAATTGGTTCCACTGTCATACTGCTCTAACAGTTAGGAAGTTTCCCCTGATATTCAACTGAAATTTGACTTCCTATAACTTGAGCCCATTGTGTGTCCTGCACTCTGGGATGATTGAGAACAGATTCTGCTCTGATTGTCTATGACAGCCTTTCAGTTATAATCAATTGCTGTTGTAAGAGAGGCCAGAAGGCTTTTAAGAGTGGTAAAATTTGCTTCTCCTGTCAACCAACCATGTGCTTTTAAGGACTTTATCTTGCTACATGAACCTTCTCAGTTCTAAAGATCTTCTCAGTCCCACTAGCTTCCCAGGCAGGTCTACTGAAAACAGGAGAGAGGACCTTCTCTGTGGCTGCTCCCAGGTTGTGGAATGCTCTACTTCAGGAAGTTAGGTTTGCCACCTTCCTCTTGTCCTCCTGGTGACAGGTTTAGAAAGGCTTTTAATAATTAATGGAACAGTTTTTGGGTTTGTGTGTGGGGCACTATAATTATTTTTAGGGATTTTTTAACCAATTGTTTTAATACTAATTAAAATTAAATACTTCTATATGTTTGTTTTTCATTGTTTATGGTGGTTTTAACTGGTTTGGGTTTTTTTTATTAACTTGTGAGCCCTCTCGGATCTCTTAACTTGGAGACAGGCAACACAAAAATGAAAATAAAGAAAATATAGAAATAAAATATTCCCAAACTTGCTTGTTTGCTTGGTCATCTTGTTATAGGATAGCTATCACATGGGTAAAACGGCTGTCTTTGCTTATCTTATTCTTCTGCCCAGAACACCAGAATTGTTCTCTTTGCTTCAAGACAGTGATGGTGCTCTCAGTGACCATGATCACATTTACATTGTGTTTTTTTTTGTTTGGTTGTTTGGTTTGGTTTGGTGTGGTTTGGTTTTTGCAGAGCTGGAAGGGATCCTATGGATCCTATGAGCCCAACCCCTGTCAGGGAGGCACAGTGGAGAATCAGCCTCTTAACCTCTGGCGCCACAGCCAGATGCATTAAACCAGTGGTTCCCGACCTTGAATCTTCAGACATTCGTGGACTGCAACCCCCAAAAACCTTTACAATTAGCCATGCTTGCAAGGGCTTCTGGGAGTCGCAGTCCAAGAACATCTGGGGACCCAAGATTGGGGACCACTGCATTAGACCATTGAGCTATCGAGCAGTTCCATCTGTCAGTTGGAACACTTGTATATATTGCGCAGATTCCTCTGGCTCCAATGATCTGCCAGCACAAAGATCTATTAACACAACTGGTGTGGTGGCTAATATGATGTGGCAGAACAGCTAAGCAAAGGGTGTAGAAAAGGAGGGATATAAGAGGAACTGAAATGCCAGCTAATGTTGTCACAGAGTTAGGCCAGGGCAAGGGTCATTCATAAGGGTCACCGATAAGTCAGAGGCAACTTGACAACACATATGAATAACAAGGGTAGTTCAAAGATACCATCTGGGAGAAGTTTGAACTCTGCACAGTTTCAGGTAGCCTGGTATCAGCTTATTTCACCCTCAATAATCTCAGCATGTTAGGACATGATTTTCAGTCCCAAGCGGGCAGAACACTGGAGATCTCCAACCAGATGTACATTTCGATTGAAACCAGTTGTGGAAGGAGAAAAATATTTCCTTGAGCAGTAGACTAGACCAGTGGTCCCCAAACTTGGGCCTCCAGATGTTCTTGGACTTCAATTCCCAGAAATCCTGGCTAGCAGGGATGGTGGTGAAGGCTTCTGGGAGTTGTAGTCCAAGAACATCTGGAGGCCCAAGGTTGGGGACCACTGGACTAGACCACTGGTTCTTAACCTTGGGTTACTCAGGTGTTTTGGACTGCAACTCCCAGAAACTTTCACCACCAGCTGTCCAGACTGGGGTTTCTGGGAGTTGCAGTCCAAAAACACTTGAGTAAGTCAAGGTTAAGAACCACTGGACTAGACTACCATTTTAAGAGGTATAATTTCTCCTGCCTGAAAGACACCAAGTATGAATATTCACATTTATTTTCTCCCTTATTAAATACCCATTACTGTGCTAGAAGCTGCTGCTTCAGCATCATTTTCTCCTTTCATGGCCACTGAAGTGGTTCCTCTTCCCCTGATTCATGACATGCTTGTTTCCACTCCATCAAGCATCATGAAGTGGATGAGATGACATCTCAGCTATGTGCAATGAGTGGGATGCAGTGATGTGTTGACATAACAGAGGGCAAGTGAAAACAATGCACGTGGACAAACAAACATTTTCACGAACCGTGCCAGTTAAATAACTGGGAAGGCAAACAAAACCTCAGAGCCATTGAAGACGTCAGTGGGAAACCTGTGACTAGCTTAAGCTCAGCTATAATCCTAAAATAACAGTATTATATATTACTGTTCTCTTTACGGTGTGTGGGAAATGGTGGCAGAATGAATTCAAGTGTTCTCTGAAAAACATACTTGGTAAACAAAATGTCGTCTTTTCTTCTATCTGCACTTGTTTCTTATTTTCCTTTCCATTGTTTAGAAAATACCACCTCCTAGGAATTATGCAGCATAAAACTGATTCAAACAGACACCAGTGCTACTAGAAACTATTTGCATCAAATTCCTATTATACTGTCTACATTCAGAACAGCAGGCGGTAGTCTCATGTATATTTAGGTCAAACTATATATTTCCTTCCCATTTCATTATCATGCCAATATGTTCTAGTTGGCTGCTGATGCTTCTTAGTACAAAGCTGACAATTCTGAAGAAGGTGGAGATTATTAAAGAAAATGGTAGCATAACAATTAAACTTTAAGGCATTATTTTGAAACAAGTGCTTATTTTGCTAATAAGCTTCACTGCCTCTGAAAGACTCAGGCTGCACCTAGATTTCCTGAAGGTGTGAGACAGCATGTCCTATGCATGTCTACTCATAAGTAAGTACCATTAAATTCAGTAGGACTTACTTACGGGTTAACTCTCAATATGCTTGCAGCCCAGTTCATGCGAGCAAATGTGGACAAGTATGAAAGTTGAAATACAATTGCATTCCAATTTAAATGTTAATTTTGCAACTATGGGGATGTGGTGGCGCTGTGGGTTAAACTGCAGAAGCCTCTGTGCTGCAAGGTCAGAAGACCAGCAGTCGTTAGATCGAATCCACACGACGGAGTGAGCTCCCGCCGCTTGTCCCAGCGCGTGCCAACCTAGCAGCTCGAAAGCATGTAAAATGTGAGTAGATAAATAGGTACCATCCCGGTGGGAAGGTAACAGCATTTCGTGTCTAGTCGCGCTGGCCACATGACCATGGAAACTGTCTTCGGACAAACACTGGCTCTATAGCTTGGAGACGGGGATGAGCACCGTGCCCTAGAGTAGGAAACGACAAGGGGAACCTTTACATTTAGCTTAGCAACTATGGCTGGCTAGAGAGCTCAGTGGTTTTTGATATCTGATATTGTTGATATTGTTCCCAAAGCCCCAAGGCTACGGGGACCACTGAGGTGTGTTTCTTCCAGAGGTGAGATGTTTCGATTGCCAGAGGGAAGGAAAAAATTAGGCAAGGTGCACAGTACATTCAAGGATAGCTCAGTGGTTTAGGAATCTGGCTGAGGAGCCAGAGGTTGGGAGTTCAGTTCCCCACTGTGCCTCCTTGACAGAGGTTGTACTTGATGTTGTTATGATAATGATGATTATGTTCCTCACTCCAAAAGTAAACTATCTTGCCTATATTTTTTTTTTCAAATGTATACATTTTTGTGCACATTTCTTCCCACATATGGATGTTTACCTCGCATATATTATTTTTTCAAATGTATACATTTTATGCACATTTCTTCCCACATATGGATGTTTAAATGTGTTTTGTAAATGTTATGTTATTCTTTTTGCTTCATTTTGCCAACCAAATTAAAAATGTCAAGAATGTGTGGCTGTCAGAGTCACACTGCTTTCTAATCTGTCCTTCATATTTGGCAATAGGGAATTTTGCACTTTTGCGTTGCCAGTGAAACTGGGTGAATTTATCATCCATCTCTCTCCTTAAGCAACATGTGTAACAAATTTGAGCCTCAGTTGTATAGAATTTGCCTAAAACTGTGATTCCAGCCATGGGTAACCCAAGTGTTCTTGGACTGCAGCTCCCAGAAACCCTGGCCAGCACAGCTGGTGGTGGTGAATTGTAGACACACACACACAGAGAAGACTGGGAACCACTCACTTATATGGTATTTCTATGAATGGGTGCATGGAGGGGAACCAAGATCATGAGTTTATTTATTTTGGTTTTTTTTTTAATGTTTCATGGCTTTCTTTTAATGTTATCAGATGACGGCCTAAATGTTGACCACTTGCTGAGAATGGCCTCGACTCTCCGGGACAGTGCACAGTTGTTCCAGTCCGATGAAATGAGGCCGGCTAATGACCCAAAAGAAAGAGCCCCCATCCGTGTAAGAATGCTGAACGATGTCTTGCAAAACCTTGAGAAAAATTTCTTAGTTCCGCAAGTTCCTCCAGGATTCTACAGGTAGAGAAATGTGCTTGTTTTCGTCTCTCTGATCACTTTATTTGATTGGACTTTCAGAGTTGACTTGGTTTCCCTCAGTGGTGTCCAATGCAGTGTTGTGCTAATGATTGCTCAACCTCTTGTGCAGCCACTTGCCCAACCACTCCCTTAGTGGTGCTTTCCTGCACAACAACACTATGGCATTTTTGCTATGTTAATGTTAGAATTCAGTAGGTAGGTCATGGTATTAATTATTTTCAAAGGCGCTAGAAGATATAGGGGAGCCTTGATTTTATTTTGTTTGTTGTACTTAACATTTACCAAACAGCACTACAATCCTGTTTACATGAAATGTATGATCTATTGAACTTAATCAGAGTTGACAATGCAACTTAAGCAGAGTTGACAATTTCTATATTTCATACCAGGGTTTGGATGGTTTAAAACACACACACACACACACACACACACACACACAGAGGGACAGACAGACAGACAGACAGACAGACACACACACACACACACACACCTACCTTTTGGAAAAGCAAACAGAACCTAAAATTAGGGGAAGAAAAGAAATTCCTCACACCCAGTGGAGACCTTGTTTTGCACTGTGTTTCAGCCTGAAGTAGAGATTTATGAGTGAGTTATAAACCTCTGAAATAGTGGTTTATAATGGAAACTCTGGCAGACCTTTAAGTATTGCAGCACAAACAGTGCAGCAATAAATACTCAACTTCATCTGTAAACAGAAATTTAGGATGCAGTTTGCAGCCTTGACCTTCAGGCTCCAACTGTGTTTAGATCATTAAGATTCCATAAATACTGTAATTTACTGCCTTCTGAAGGGAGAATATGTGCCCATAATAAAGCACATATTCTTCGTAGGGGAAAGAAATGATTGCTTCCTGTATATTCATTGGGACTTACGTTCTCTGGTTTAGTCACAGTACCTGACAGAAGTGTAAGCATCGCTTCTCAGTCACCACTGGCAGGACAGTCATCATCTCCTCTTTCTAGCCTCGCAGAGTCTTCTGTTTTCATTCCTAGAGCAGAGACGCTTGAAGAACAAGGGAGGAAATGCAGAGGTGGCAGCATCGCATTGGCTGTCATGATTGGAGCCGGCCCTCTTGTTAGGTAGACTGAGGCAGCTGCCACAGGGGGTGGTGAGTAGGCCCTGGGAGGCAGCAATGGTAGACCCCTAATGCTATTCCTGTTAAGCTCTCTGGCCATTCCCCATTTTGGGGGGGACAAATCTGTCATGCACACCTGCTGCCTTCAAGTGTGTCTGAGAGCTCTACCCTGTGGCCAATACTACTACTAATAATGTGCCACCAAGTCAGTTCTGACTTATGGCAATTCTTATCTAGGTTTTCCAGGTATACTCAGAATTAATTTAATCTTCCTTTCTACTGGGGGTGCTCTGGACCAGTGGTTCTTAACCTTGGCCCAAGTCAGTTCTGACTTACGGCAACTCTTATCTAAGTTTTCCAGGTATACTCAGAATTAATTTAACCTTCCTTTCTACTGGGGGTGCTCTGGACTGTGCAGCTTGCCCAAAGCTATACAGGCTGGCTCTTTTCCTAGGAGGCAGAGTGGGAAATAGAACTTTTGGCTCTGCAGCCAGATACCTAACTTACTGAGCTATGCAGAAGTGCAGTTTTACTGCCAGACAATTGAAGACAAGAGGGTTTGATATTTTACACCATTATCTTATCAATAAGTGGAAAGGGAAGTATTTTTTGGTTTTATCTTTCATATTTTTATAAACATTTCCAATGTGCAATTTCAGAATTGGCCACTATGGGGAGTTCCAGAGAATACTTCCCATATTTTTATAAACACTTCCAATGTGCATTGTCAGAATTGGCCACTATGGGGAGTTCCAGAGAATACTTCCCAGTATTTTTCTGACCTATTTGGGGAAAGAGCAACACAACATGTTAATAACGTGCTGTGCAATTCATCACTTGTGTGATTGGAGCAATGGTGACACTCATGGCAACCTGCCCGCAGAGAAATAGTGTGTTCCTTTTAAAATCCAATGTTCCAAGCTTTGGGCTTTTCAAGAATCCTCAGTTGTGTGTGTATTTTGTATGAACAGTCTTTTGAGGGCTTTTTTTCGTCTTGTACGAATCCAAGTCTTATTAGCATTTCATAATTTAGCATGTTAACTGGCATATTTGAAGATGAGAGCTTCCAAGAATTCTTGGCTAGATTTCTTAACTGTTTCTTTTTATAGTACAAAGTGCATATTTACCCTGCTGACACTGTTTTTGCCTAGAGACAAGATGACCTGGCATACTTTGAAAAGAGTGCTCAGTTTGTAAATTAGGGAAGAGAGAATTGCATCATCAATAAAACAAGGAACAAGCTGGCATCCCAATCCGTAGAATTTACACTTGCATTCCTTCCCCTGATACCACTGCTGTGTTTTGGCAGTGGCAGTCTAAAATCCTGGTGCTGTAATAACTATATTGCTTGATCTTGGTACTAATATGGGTATCGGATCCACCCTTTTCATCGGCAAGGCTGACTCTAAATTGGAAATCCAACAACCTAGGAGAGCTTCCTCCCCCCTCCCAATTCTGCTGTATCTATATTTTTATGGAACACCCTGAAAACACAGACAAGCATTGAAGTGGTGCCTTTTCCAAAGGATCTCAAAGTCTTGGAACCAATAAAGCTCAAGAGAAGATGATAATTATCCCAGGATATTATACATCATGTGAAAAAGAAAGTGCACCCACTTTGAATTCATGGTTTTATGTATCAGGACATAATAAAAATCATCTGGTCCTTAGCAGGTCTGAAAATCAGGTGAACACAATCTCAGATGAACAACAATACCTGACATAATACACTGTGTCATGGTTCATTTTACAAAAATAAAGTCAAAATTGAGAAGCCACGTGTGAATAACTAAGTACACCCTTACTGCTTCCCTAGAATTAAGAGGCTAAGTAGCAGCCAGGTGCTGCTAACCAAATGGCCTTGAGTAATTGTCCATCAACAAGTGTGGCCACCTCCATAAAAGCCCACATTTTTAGCAGCTTGCTAGTCTGGAACATTCAGGTGTGTGTTAACATCGTGGCAAGGAGGAAACACATCAGCAGTGATCGTAGAGAAGCTAATTGTTATAAGCCCTACCAGATTATCCTCCTCAGTTGAGACAGAGATAACGAACACTGTTTATTTTTCTTCTCAAGCTCTCCCTAGCTTGCACAAATTCTCCTCAAAGGACCAACTGAGATGCAAATCACAGACATACAACAGTCCTTGAAGGACTGGGTGGTAGGTACAGAGAGAGAGCCTTCAGTCCAAAAGATTATATGATTCGCTATTATTCACAGTTTTCCATATCTGAGGTGGGGAGAGAACCAACCCCCCTTGAGAATGGAGTCCTACTGTATTTAATTTCATTTCTATGCCATTTTTCTCCCATAAATACACTCAAAGCAACTCACAAAGGCAACTTACAATAAGTAAAATACACATAAATCTTAAAAAGGACTGTAAACATACATTTTTTAAAAAAATATTGAATAATATAAAAAAAAGATCATTCAAACACTAGAACAACCATTGAAAGTGTACTTTAAAAATCGTATCCTCCTCAGTTGAGACAGAGATAACGAACACTGTTTATTTTTCTTCTCAAGCTCTCCCTAGCTTGCACAAATTCTCCTCAAAGGACCAACTGAGATGCAAATCACAGACATACAACAGTCCTTGAAGGACTGGGTGGTAGGTACAGAGAGAGAGCCTTCAGTCCAAAAGATTATATGATTCGCTATTATTCACAGTTTTCCATAAATGAGGTTGGGGAGAGAACCAAACCCCCTCGAGAATGGAGTCCTACTGTATTTAATTTCATTTCTATGCCATTTTTCTCCCATAAATACACTCAAAGCAACTCACAAAGGCAACTTACAATAAGTAAAATACACATAAATCTTAAAAAGGACTATAAACATACCTTTTTTTAAAAAAAGATTGAATAATAAAAAAAATCATTCAAACACTAGAACAACCATTGAAAGTGTACTTTAAAAATCGTAACCTCCATCTTGAGGACAGTCTATCCTTGATACCCAGTGGAACTATTAAAGCCTATTTTAAACTTTTATTTGCCTAAGTCTAGAAGAACAAGATGGAGGAGGCCAAACTGAGGGAGGGTGGTTCACAAAGTGGGAGCACTCACAGAGAAGGTCCCTGTAACAGCCACACTCAAACCTCAAAGAGTGGTTGTATCTTCACTTTAAAATCTCTGCTGCCACCAACGTATCCTCGAAAATCAAGCGAAGGACAAGTGTAACTTTGAAAAACAAAAACTGGTTTATTGATTACAAAAATAAGAATGGTAAATCACGGGTAAAGAATCAATTAATCAATCACTATTAATAAACACTGGGTCACACAGACTATTTCACACTGACAGGCTCTCTCACTCACTAAAACTAACAATCACTTTAAACTCTCAGCTCAGACTCTCATCTCCAATCTCTCAAAACTGATCTCTCAAACACCATACACACCCCTTTATATCCCAGCTCCTCCCCCTTTAGCACTACCTTCCGTCCCCTCATTGGCTGCTGTTCCACTGCCCAGCTGTGACGGACAGGTGAGGGCAGGGCTGAACGTTACAGTCCCCTCTCTCGTTCTCAACAAATCTACAGGTGGCACATCCCCAGCCAGGTCAATATAAAATTATAGTTTTAGGTACGAAAGGAATCTAGGGAAAATTTTACCTTCAGACTAGCACTGTGAAGTGTTATAGCAGAAATTCAGATGCTCAGAAGACAACAGTTTTCTTAGCAACGAACCAAGAAGCGATCTGCATAGCTGCATATATTACTACAGGACTTTATACTTCACCATGGCTTCTGCGTTAGTTTTTTACACTCCAGGCTATAAAACTGGAGCATTAATGCCACCATTTTTCACAGAAACCAGCACATTATGTTCTATCGCTAAAATATTACCTCTAAATCCCATCAGTAAAAATAAAAAATAAAATCAGGGATAAGTGCATTGTTGTTTTTTCAAAGATTACTGATTGTTCTCCAGGTCGTGATGTGAGATGCTAAAACATGCTGAGTGCAAACTATCCTACTGCATTTAAGATCAGTGGCTATCATTCTCCACAGCTGGAGTTCAATGGATAATCCA